AGATGGTGCTGTATGCTATACAGCCTATATCAACTTGCATAAAGAAACTCATCCTTTGCAGTCCACATCACAATTGCTTTGAAGCATCTACCGCTCCAAGGAAGTTAGAATAGCGCTGCTCGCAGTACAGAGGTGGTGCAAACGAACAATGAAATTTGCTATCACATCCCGTAGTGCAGCAATAGATTCAAATGCTACTCAGATCGACAATTCAAGCTCGCCTAGCATGGTGGGATGGTTCCGATAAACAGTCTTTCAATGTTCCCCATAAAAAGTAATCACAAATAATATTAAAGAATAAGATGGGGTAAATATGGAAGCCAATTCAATACCTGCACGAGTAAATTTGAAATAATCCAATGCAATGACTCTATTCTCAAAGTATTCATCAAGAAAATGAAACACCTGTTTGGTGCGATATGATTGGGCTGCATCTTGTATGAAACAGTCGCTGCCTGGCCAATCATCCAATCCTAGCTGTATGGCAATAAACTGTTCCAAAATTGAAATGTAATGTTTACTAGTGATTTTTTCTTGCATGAAAAAAAGGTCCAATAATGCCTCTGCTTATTATCACAGCCCAAATAATAACTTTAGGAGAATGCAGTTTCACAGAAACGGGGATTTTCAGAAGCCCAAAATTGCCAGGTTTGTTTATTTATAAAACCATTCAGGTGGAAGTATGCTTCATCTGTGAACTAGATATAGACATCATCAAATTTTTCATTATCATATATAATATTATCATTAATATTAAATAAATTCCAAGAAAGTGAATCAGTTTTTCTTATTTACTTTTGTACTCTGCTTTAGTAGAAGTTTAGAAAACTTCAATGTATTATTTAAATTAACATTTTTATAAAGTATATTTGCATTATATTTTACTACACTAAGATATTTTTAAAAATATAAAAATTTAATTTTAATTCTGGATGCTTTGGAATGGCATTTCAGGTATATTACAATGGATTAGTTGGTTAACATGAAAATAAAAATATTCTGCCAAGGAAAGTGAGAGCCTTTCTCTGGGAAACTGGCTTGTGTTTATGTTACATATGGAGAAAACTGTGGCAGAATGAGAAAAAATAAACAATGCTTTATACCAGTAGTCTCAAACAGGTGGCCCTCAAAGCAATTCTGTGCAACCCACAAATACATTTCAATTATGCATTTGTTGCAAATATGATGTAACAAAGATTTCGAGATTTTAGTTATTTGAAGTCCCAGTTTATATTACTTTTATCAAAGTTAAAATAGAACATGAATAATGAACTAGTAAATCTATAAATTGAGCTAATTAATTTCCACTGTGATATAAATCTTAGGTACTTTTCCATTATGTGCTCACAATGTAACTGTTCCACTATGTGCCTGTAATCTAAACAGAGTTCCTAACAAATAGGCAGTTACATGCCGAGAAGCAAAAAAAAAATCATAAGTAACCTGTAAACATCTTAACTTATTATTTTGTGGTGGCCATCTTTTCTTCATATTTTGCTCTGCCTTTTGAAGTTCCTCATTGTAACAATGCTTCTTTTTGATCTTGCAAATAACGAAGCAGATTGAATAGCATATTTTCAACGATGTGCATTATTTCTTCGCCCCAAAAATGCTCAAGTATCCATAATATGATTTTATTTATCAAATAAGACAGGGTTATGAGGAGATGCCATTGCTCATAAGAATCAAATCAGCATCGGGAAAGGCAATTGGTTTGAGAATTCTTGTCTCCCCTTCACAACAGCCATTTATTTATGATTAATGGAATTGACATTCATCAAAATTTATGAGACAGAATTTCACATACCACACATTAACTAGAATAATTATTTATGAGACATCTGCATCGAAGACATTTTGGACCAAGTATGGAAAAGGGAGGACCAAGACAAATCGTCAAAATAGATGAAAGTCTTTTCACCTAGAGGAAGAATAATGCTGGTTATGTTTTCCTGTCCAGATGGGTTTTCGGATGCCCCAATACAAAAGATAAATTTCTAACTGCTGTACCAAATACAGTGTCACATTCTTGCCACTAGGTGGCGGGCATCTCTTCCCTTACTTTTGCTGTGATTAAGTCCGGAGAAGCAGTCGAGATTGGAACCGCTCTGAGGAGCGTAAAGACTCAGAACTAAAAATGTACTGTCTTAAAATAATTATCACCTACATTGTAAATAGTGTATATTAGCTTTTTATTTCAATAAATAATTAAAAGACAAGATGGCCTGCTAATTGTAATAGAAACTCTTACTGGAAAACGTGATTATTAGAAGCCTGGCGTCGAGAACACTGAAGATACAGCAGGTAAGGAATTTTACATTAATTTTATTGTAAATAGAAGAACCTGATGCAACATACAGGGACAGAGTATTTGCTCAAATGTATTGAAGAAAATGTAAACAAAAGGTCTATTATGCACTCTGTTGGAAGGTACATAAGAGGACGAACTCAAAAAAGCAAGTCTTTTTCCACTTCAAAGTAAATCACAAATTCAACTTCATAAATGAAGAAACCAGCATTCATACGCAGACAGTAGGGCACTTATGGGTCAGCCAAAAAAATAATAATAAATAATGTGAAATTGCCCGAAACATTTACCTATATCATAACAAAATCCATATGGCAAAAGAAAGAAAAAGGGAATAAAAAAGATTTATTCAACTCTATCACTGATGTGATTGCTAAACAGTTTTTGCTGGAAATCAACATTGGTGCTTGAGAGAGCCAATGAAGTTTGTCAATAAGTAAAAATTATTTAAACTTAATTCAAAGATCTGAAGTTAGAGGTTTATTAACTTTTATTCTTAAATAATTAATTAATCTTAATTCTTTTGCAAAAAATATGTGCATTCAGCTACGAATTTTTGTAAAAAGAATAATAGCTTTATTTAGCAATACATTTACATGTGAGCAACTCTTTTTCACAGTTTAAAATTAATAATACCTTGATTGACTGATTAGTATCTACAATGTAGCAATGAAAATAACTTCTAGTACATTTTCTCCAAGCTATCAAAATTGAAACAGCATCAAGTGTCTAGCTGAAGTAAGAAATAAAAAAGTTTATCATCATTTACATACAAACATATGAACTTTTATTTACTCATCGAAGAAACATTTAATAAACTAAAGAAAGAGACTAAGTTGTCAATATTTATACCCCAGTTTTGTCCCACTTCAGGTGTTTTCTCTGTAAACTTAGAAATTTATCATAATTTCATTTCTAGTTTAATGTAAATTATTTAATGATTACTTCGAATTATTTTAAATAAATATGAGTCTGAAAATTTAATATTTAACATTCAGTATATATGAATTAAAAAGTGTAAGGAACAAAAATGTCTTGCAGGTAACAAACATCAGACTTCTGATAAAAAATAAATATAAATTTTTTCTTTGGATATTATTGTTTACACTTTGATAAATATTTAGGAAGAGAAATTTAAAATTTCTAAATGCTAATAGTATTATTATTTTGTTATTAAATTAATTTAATAAATAATTATTAAATTATTTATTAAAACAGGCCGACAGCTGTTTTCAGACTGAGCATTTTGACCTCCACATGCAATTTGAGTTTGAGACCACTACATTACAGTTTTAGTGAGGTGGCTATTGGTTGATTTTTTTTTAATGAAACTTCTTTGGTGCATAGATACCTGAAAAATATTTGATAATTTTATAGGAAGAGAGGAAGAATATCAATACTATTAGCATTTGCAAAGATTTAATGATTCAAATTATTTTTGGGAGTATATATTTTGTCCAGAAAATTTCTATTATAAACAAATTCGGAATAAATTTTATATTAAATTTTCATTTCAGACATATTTTATTTTTAATACTAATACTTTGACCTCATAGATACTTTCTCTTTTCTCACATTTATTTTTTAAAAAATGAAAATACTTTTAAGCAAATATATAAATGCAAAAGAAATTTAAGCAACATGAGAGTTGGTATGCTTGCTAAATTCATGTCGCCATTGAACGTGCAACAATTTTCTTTCATTTACGAGATGAGATAATTCTTATTAGTTATTTGGAGATATGGCACATAATTTAGGTAAACCTTGGCATAAGTTAAGGTCTGCTTGCCTAAAAAGGAACATATAAACTCAAGTAATTAATTTTATTTTAAATTAACATATTGTTTTTAGTCTGTATGCTCTATATTTGCAAAAAATTTCATTTACAATTAGAAGAAAAGCACACCAACATAAAATATAAAATTAAAAGCAATGTTAGATTGATGTAGGTTTTAAAATATAACATTTTTTATTCACTATCTTAACTACTTCACGCCACTTAAATCGCTGTTTTAATTGGGATTACGAAACTTATAGTTATGTTTAATTCAATGGATGCTTTAGGCACAGAATACATGTTATGTATCTAATAACTCATTGCTGATAAACAGCAATCAGAACTTAAAAAAAAAAAAAAAAAAAAAAAAAAACTACTCAGGTCAGAATTTAATAGCAATGGGAGGAAAAAAAGATGACAGTGGAATCAATTCACTTGCAATTCTCGCCCTTCATTTACCATGGTTTATGACATAATCTTATCAAAATAAGTTTCAAATTTGCTTCAAAACTTACACAAGAAAGAAAAAAGTTAATTTTGCAGCTGTCATTACGTCTTTTTGCCTCTTTATGAATTTGAAAAGCACTATAGAGCATAAGTGGAAAAATATTTAATGAGGAAATAAAAGCTGTATGCATACATGAAAACAAGGTAAAAAATAGAAATGTACATAATAAAATCCTTCTACATATGAGATCGAAAAATAAGTAATTTTTTTGGAAAATAGAATATCGATGGGGTTTCCGAGAAATGTCTTATTTCATATTAAATATGAAGCTTAAAAAGCTGATAAAAATTATGAATTATGCTTAGTTAAATGTAGTTTATACATGGTTATAGTTAATCATGTCTTCCTAATTTTTTGAGCAGACGAAACTTTATGTTGTTTACCTTGGCGTAAGTTTTGCGGTGTTTCGGTTTAAATGTAAACATTAGGACGTAAATTTGTAGGTTGTTGAGAACACGTGTGGTAGTTCTATTTAAAAAAAAAAAAAAAAAAAAAAAAAAAAAAAAATCAGTGCTAATGTTATAAGTTATTCTTCAGTTTTAAGATTTATCGCTTATGAATGAACTTTGTTCTGAACGTATGTTTCATTTGTGTCAACCTTATCAACATTTACTATGTCTTTTATTTTAAGAAACCATGCATGTGCGAAATCTTTTCGCGCCATTCTGAAATGGAATTTAAATAAAAATTTGCCGAAAAACTCGCACAGCTGTTACGCCAGTTTAATTTTTAATACTCGAAATATTCCATATGTAAGTATTGAAATAATTCTATTATTACATGTTGCAATGAGTTTTAAAATTTAAAGGAGCAAAATTAATGTTTGTTTATTATTTGTATTTTGTGTATAGGTTATTCATCAATCGAATTTGAAATTTAGCAGTCGTGAATTCTCGGAAAGCTCGAAATTGCTTGATAATAAGCCTGCAAAGTAAGAATTACTCTTCTAACAAATTATTATGTTTTAAAATTCATATAATATTGAACAAATAGAAGCCTAATAGAAGTAATTCTATTAGGCATTTTACATAAATTTCTAACGATTAAATTACTTCTTAGTGCGTTTCATTATACATGGCGATTTTTAAAATGTTCCACTTTTATCCTTTAAAGATTGAAGATTGTAAGAGTCACTTGAGGTAATTTTGGATTATTGACATTCTAGGATAATTCTTGGTCGGACTACTTTTTTAAAAATCAAAATAGCCGTTCGTTAAGCTGTAAAAAAATTATAAGGACACTGTTAACTGGTTACTTTGCAATATATTGATGACATATTATGGTGAAAACACTTAAAAAAATCTTCTATTTAATTTCCTATAAAAAACACTGACCTAGATTTTTACAGATTTTACAAAGATCTTTGACATTCTTCTAGTTTTAGTTTTTTACCTTTTACTTTATTTCAGTTATGAACTACTACAGCTACTAAAAAGCAAGCATAAAATTTTCTTGTGTCATACTAAAATGGTTTACTAGTTAAAATAACATGCCGAATAATGATTGTTGGAGGATTTTAAGCAACAATAATCACTGTAATGTTCATAAATTTGCAGGACTAGTTTTGAAGGTTCTATATTTAAACCTTTGAAACTAGTCCTGCAAATTTATGAAGGTTAGAGTAGAGAGAATGGTATCCCTTGTATTATCGCGAAGTTGTTGTTTCATTTATTCCCAAGTTGTTATTTCATTTTTCGCCAAGTGCTGGTTTATTTATTGTAGCCGGAGTAGCTGAATGTTATGACATAAGCGGTTGCTTGATTGTGGTGAATTTGTAAGGGCTTGTCGTGTGTGTTGGTTAGGAAGTACATTGCTTGTTTTCTGGTTTAGACGGTAAAAATGGCTGAATGTGGTAAGACTAATTTGAAGTTTCTGTATGATTTTGAAAAAAAGGGGAAAAGAGCATAATTTGACTGGTGTGTAAATGAAGATTTACTTAATAGCCATTATTAAGTGTCCTGTTTGTAGGAAGGAAATGCATATGGTCGGACAAATACGGTACTGCAGATGATATTTTTGACTTTTATTTTGTGAATTTATGTGACGATGCCTCTTTTTTTTGAGATTCTAGTTCAGATAATTTTAGGAAGTTTTTGGATGCTGTTAAGGAATTTCGTTTGACTGAAGAGGTGTTTATTTGTGAATAAATTAAGTGGAAATTTCCTTTGTGTAGTGCAAAGATGAATTTCCTTTTTTTGTTATTTCATTGTTTGATTTAAAATGTAGTTTATTGAGATTATATACTTTTTTGTTGGCTGCTCCTTTGACTTTTTAAGTGAATATAGTTTGATGTGTACATGGAGAAAGTCAAGGGAGTGCGCATTGCCTAGTCTGTGCTATTCTCTGACTTTTTTTAAGTGAAAATAGGTTGATATGTACATCGATAAAGACAAGAGAGTGTGCAGTGCCAAGTTTGTGCAATTCTGGGTTGTTTTTCGAAGGAAAAATAGGTCGATCTGTACATGGATACCGAGTTTGTGCAATTCTTTGTCTTGTTACTTTGGCTTTGTGTAACGCTTCGCTACATAAGTCAAAGAATTGCACAAACTCGGTATCCTTTTACCTACAAAACACACCAATTTTCGCCAAGGGGTACCCGTAAATATACTTTTACCCACAACCTTTGTCCATATGGGCTATTAGATATAGGTTTCTTTGTTTTAATTAAGAAAACATAACTATTAGTATTTAAAGACACAAGAAACAAAGCTTCTTAAGCACTAGATGTTACTAATAGTTAATCACTGCTTCATAATTATCATCTCTCTTGTTTTTTCATTACATCTCCTGGCATCATGGTAACCAGCTTTAAATTTTTGAACTTTATCATAGAAAACTGCTAAGGTAAATGCTTTCCAGCAATAAATGTAATTTATTGAATTAATGAAACTTAAATTGTGCAAAATGCTTTCTCCAATCCCTAATGATTTTCAGCATAATTTTTCTTATTAAATTTTATTTTATCTGAATTGTCTCCATCTGCTGTTATCATTTGTAGAATTTTTTATGAAGTTTCAATCATTGTTTATTCAGCTAATATTCACATTTTTTTTAGCATCTTTAAATGGTACACTGCTTAAGTTGATTCATATAATTGTATGTCTATGAATTATTAATCTTATTTTCATCACATAAAACTTACAATAGCTGATTAAATATTAAAATATTTTATATCAAAATCATATAATAAATAGTTTAACTACCCAAATCAGGCATTATAAAGTGAAGTTAAGTAGATTTCTTTCAAAATGACAGTGCACAGTGTGAAAAACCCAAGATACCCTAGAAACTCGCAGTTTTCCATATTTTAAGGTTGCTAAAGCTTCTCTAAATATTGCTACTTAGAGAACCTTCTAAATCCACCTTTATTGCAGAATTGGAGCAGATTTATTTTATTACAGCAGAGTGTTTGTATATGAATAAAATTTTGTACTCTAGTTCTTTGTGCTCTTATATGCTTTTGTGTTTACACTTTTTGAGTTGTTATATCTTTGTTTTGGAGCTATTATATATGCTGTGTTATAATCTGTATTTTTTTGGTGCAGCTTAATTTCTTTGGTGGAATATGGAGAAATAGCTGAAGAATGTCTCCAAAGTGTAGGTGAACAGTTTGAAAATATCTTGGAGAAGGCAGATATCAAAGACTGGGATGTGAACTATAGTGTATGAATAATTTGTGATTATGATTTTTTTTATTTGAATTCTTTCTCCTTAAAGAGTAAATTAGCATATTTGTAATAATATTTTTATCGTATTATAGCTTATTGTGTTTTATGTATCAGTATAATAGGGCTTACTCTACTTTCATATATTCTTTCTAATATGTATACGGTACAAAGTCCGAAATCCAGACGTCCATTATCCGAAATGATCTAAAATCCGGATCTCAAAGGCACAAACATTTAAAAAAAATTTTTTTTATTAATGCTTTACACATGCACATTTGTGTAAAGCATTAATAAAAATTTTTTTTTTTTTATTTTCCATAATAAAACATGTGGAGATTTTCACTTAAAAATTCCGATTCTTAATTTTACTTACTAAATAAAATACCTCGTTATGGAAAAACAATCATGTAAGTATAAATTTGTGAGATTAAAAATTTGGCTCCGTAGCTGAGTATCTACTTGGCATACATCTCAAAGCAAAACATTCACCTATTTTATATCCCTGAAGCCAACCTGGCGAGTGATTATTTATTATATTTTGCTTTCATCACCGTATGTTTATCAATACATGACAGCTTCAGTAATAACTCATGCTGTGATGTCTAAACTTTTTTTATATTAATAATTGAATAACAAGAGTATGACATCCTTTTACACTAACATTACACTTGGTGATGATTATAGATTTTTAAATGCTCTAAGAAATGTTGATGAGGAAAAATTCAACAAAAATTTCTTTTCATATACTAAAAATAGATTTTGATAATGAAACTCATAGGCTAAAAGATTACATTTAGTGCTATTTTAATTAAGAATAACTGATATGTTATTCACCATAAACCTAGAAGCGGCGGCAGAATATGTCGACACCAGACAGCAGAATTTAGGGAAGACAAAATTTTTTGAATTTAGGGGAAGCACCGAGTGCCAAAATTAAAGGATGAGAAGTTTTTATGATTTAGGGAAAGCACTGGGATCCAAAGTTTAGGCACACTGAAAATTTAGAACTTGGGAAAATGCTTTGTACCAGAATATAGGACACGTAAAGACTGTACCAGACGGTATCAAGCGCCAGCCTTAGATAGTCTTAAGTATATGTGGGAGTTTATTTATTCAGAACTCGGATTAGTTTGAAGCATGTGCAAGAAATAAATGTAGGTATAGTAAATAACTAAACTAATACAATTCAGACTTAATTTAGTACGCAATAGGAACAAGACAAAATTTAGCGAAACAACTTGCCTTTCATTGCCAATCTTGTGATACACAGCCAATAATGTATAACGGATGCTATTAAGCTATACTAAAATTATCTTTACTGATTCTAAGGTATTTCAATTAATGTAGCAGACTGTGCTGCTCCTTGATCCTCTAATTTGATCCAGCTTATTATTTTTTGGAGACTGTCATTATTATGGCAATTTTATAAAAACTAATCTTGAACTTTCGATTATGTTAAAAAGAGTTTCTAATTCTGGAGTTGCCAAAGGATCTATGAAGCAAAACTATGTTTCAACGTCCATTATACAAAAAGTGGAATTGCTGCAAAAAATGGATAAAATCATATCCGTCTCAAAATTATGTGAGGAGTATGCCATTGGAAAGTTCACTGTATATGACACAAGAAAAAAGAACTTTTTAAATTTTTTGTGGAAGCATCTTAAACAACTTACATTGAAAGAAATTTTTAATAAAGTAAACAAATAAATATTAACCTTTTTTTTGTAAATTTTGATATCCTTTAAATCATAATTGTTCCTTATTTCATAAATTATGATTTCATATTTTTAATTGCATAATTTCTGTATGCCATCTTACCAGATTTAAATTGACAACTTCCAACACTTCCATCACTCTTCTAATAACTATAAACTCAGGCCCCGGTGCATTAAGTGTGCCAGGCCACATAAAACTGAAAATTGTTCTGCCAAAAGATTGGAAATTGTTAAATGTTACAACTGCCTTCAGACTGGCCACATGGCCAATTATAGGGGTTGCCCAAAATTCCCTGTAAACAATAAAGTACCAAGAAATAATCCTAATCAAATCAATGCCAAAAATAATATAATCAAATCTGAACAGACTGCCAGCCAAATTCCTATGGTCAGTAGCAATGCTTTTAGTACTTCTAATGTTGTAAATAGTGTGTCTTATGCCTCTGTCACTACCAATTCTTCAACTGTTATGAAAAAATGAAAAAGCACTCAAAACAGAGCAAATTGTAATAATTCGCAAAACAAACCTGAACTAAGTAGTTTTACTGATATTATTAAATTCTTTAAAGAAGTTGCCAACATGTTTAAAGGACTTTCCTTCACCAACATCATTCGAAAAATTATAAACAAACTGCCTGAATCACAGGCTGCTACCAACAATATTGATAAACTTTTTATTTTATTCAATGTATGCGAGGACATTTCTGGTTCTGTTCAAAATTAGAATTGTTCTACTGCATGATACATTGCTCATTATTGTTATTTTTGTATTTTATCTCTTCTTATTTGTATCATGTTCACCACACTATTCTTCTGAAGTCCACCACTTTCTAATTCAGTACTTTTTTTTAGTAATCTAGGCAGTTGTATTTAATAATATGTATTATTTATTTATATTCTACTGCTTACTTTATCTTCTTCTTATATCTAAGTCTTAAGTTATAAATTTTTCTGGGATTTAGATTGTTCTTATTTGCATTTATCCTTACAGGCTTTCCAGCTCGACGGCCTCTGGCGTCACTATCTTTACAGCTTTATTTACTTTCCCAGTCTTGATTATCAACAGTTATTAACGTTTTTTACTCATTGTTGAGTACTTTAAGTCTTTAAAAAATTAATTAACTTTTAATTAGTTATTTGATATTACTTTTCGAAATTTCCTAAATGTTCTACAAGGGTTAGAGCCTCGGCTCAATCACCTTGGTGTAGTAAACACAGCTCCACAGGGGACTGCAGATTTCCCAAATCCGGAATCGCCAAAATACTCACCAGTCTGTATTTTGGACTTTGTACTGTATAATATTTATTCCTAATATATATATATGTAAAATATAAAATATGAAACAAAATTGCTCACAAAGTTAGTTATTAAACTGTATTCAAACTAATTGACAGTAGACCTTAAAGTCATAATTTTTAATTAAACACATCCCTTCTTCAAGAATATGTTTTGCACCATTTTGTATCATGCTGCGGCATGTTACATCACACCTTCCCTACAATTTCTCTGCTTTGTCCACTTTCCATACTTTCTTTTAGTCTCAGAACTAAAGCAAGAGAACCGAGTTTTTGAATACTGCCAGCTACATATTGCACTTTCTTGTCACCCGTGTTCGCTGCTCTACCGGCTTCTATATTGTGTAAGATGTAATACACATATATAAAATTGGTGGGGGGGGGTGCAGTTCACATGACTTTTATACAATTTTATCATCCTACTTTTAGTTTACTAAAATATTATCCACATTTTCGAGTAAGTTCAAATTTTTCATTTTTTCAATCATAAGAATCAAATAGCAGAACATAAAAAAAAAATTCTTAATGCTTCTGAATACTCAATTCCTCAATATGTCACACCTCATATCTCTTCTGTACATTGACAAGTGAAAAACATATAATGTAAAATCTATAAAAGTACTTAAGGTTTTTAGTTAGATATATCATGAATTGAATTCATTTTTTTTTTATTTCTCACTTAGTCACTTTTATTTCTAACAAGTGAAATTAAAAAGTAAGAAAATGATATGCCTAATACACTAACGTGTGCATCTATTACTTTTAAATAGCTTAGTTTATTAATAACAGACAGATTAAATTTGAAAGATAAATAAGTTACATTTTGCTGAATGGCAACAGATTCAAATGAAAAGTGAAACTGTGCATATACAGCAGATGACATTTAAAGTGAATCAATGCAAAATCATATTTTGAGAGTAATAGCCCTTTTAGGTTACAAATATTTGAGATTTCATAAAAAAAAGGTTTTCAGTAAAATTATTCATATGCAAAGTTATTTACAATAAAAATGTAACTAGCAACTATAAATTCTGCTTTTAATGTTATACTGTGTTTGAGTTGCAATTATTCGTTAGTTTGAAATCTCTGTAATTTTAATTTTGAATTCATTGATTATTAGAATAAACTTCTTTAGTATTCTTTAGTATTTTTTGTCAACTTTTATCCTACTGTACCTGTCTGTTTATGTAAATATTAAAAAGTCTTTGAATCTTTAAATTTCTGTTGAAAAAGTATAAAAGAATCTGTAATTTAAAAATACACTTGCTAAAAATGCTGCTTACATAATCTGCAGATGTGTTTAGTTCTAATAAAATGTGAAACAGTAAATAAATAAGATACATGCAGAATCTTAATTTATTCTATTCGTGTATGAGTTACATTTAGGTATGTTTTCATCAATATGGTTACTGAGATATTTGTTTTCAGTCAGTGTCTGTCTGCACTTCTGCAAAAATTTATGAATAATGATAGAATATAATGAAGAATGATATGTGTTCCTTTTATCAATGCAAGCTAGCTTAATAAGGTTAACCCACGAGCACGTGCACCAAAATTACGAACATGAGAAGGTGTGCTGGGTATGTCATACCTGAAAGCAATTAACACATTTTAAATTGCATTAATGATATAACTACAAGTATAAATGTGGATTAACATAAAAACAATGAACTTTAGAATATTTTAAATAATATAATAAATGAAGTATTTAGCTTACAATTATTTTGTACATCTCTGGCAGATTGAACACATATGCTCCATACAAATACTGATATTACGTTTCTCGTGCAGAAATCTTGTCTTTCTGTCCTTGTTTTTAGGGCACTCAACACATCTTCTGTAAATGTTTTTCATCTTTTTAGATGGTGGTTCCATATTGCAATCTCCTGAAATTATTTTTTCTTTTAGTTTCAAAGGGAGCATGATTTGCTGCTGCTGTTGATTTGAGTAATCTTCCACTAACTTCAGTCCTAATGATTTGAGAAAAAGAATGCCTGTTTCTAAACTGAGTTGGTGGTTCTTTTGTAGAAATTAGATGTAGAAATTAGAAGATTATCTGTGCATTAATTGCTGTAACATTTAAAATCGAGAAAAAAATCACCATAGGTCACCGTTTTGATACTCTAGCTGTAGACTATGCTGCTCCCATTTCATCTACAACACCTACTGCTCCTTTGGTCAGATTATAAAATGAAATAATATCCAGCTTTTTTAGTACTCTAGTGGCTTCGTCAATTTTACTATCGTTGTGCACAGATGAGAGTAGGACAACACTTCTGTTTTTCTTGGTGCATAAGAAATAATCGTTGTTTCTTTCTGGAAACCAAAAATTGAAGAATATGCTTTTCGTTTCATCTTTAGAAAATCTGGTGGAATTTCTCTCTTATTCTTTCTCAGAGTTTCTACTATAGTTATTTTCTTCCTTAGTAGGTAATGAGATAGCTGGGCTACAGTCAAGTTCCGTCCAGAATTTTACAATGGTTCCATCAAATGCTTTACAATAGCGCTTGCATTGTTATCAAACTGAAATGGCCGCTGGCCGGCGTATATTTCCATTTTCGATGTATAAAACACTCTGGAATCAAACAGTGCAAATATTTTTATGCCATATTTGGCAGGTTTTTTATGCCATGTATTGCCTAAATGAACATCATCCCCTAAATGGTTCTATTTTTTTATCAATTGTTACATATTCACCTACAGTGTAGGCTTTCTGACAGTTCTCACTGAATTTTTCAAAAAACTTTCTTATGGGAGTGAGTTTATCCGCATCTCTCTTCTACTTGGATGATCTCGGATATCATCAAACCAAAGGGATCTTAATAGGAAAAGTAATCGGTTGCAGGACATTGTTTCAATCTGTTCCCAGTTCCATCTGTTGCCCACAGATCTTTTACATTGACATGAGAGGATTTGTGAACACCACATATATACAAAAGTCCCCAAATTGCTTTGATTTCACATTCATCTGTTTTCTTTGCATCGTGCTTATGTACAAAATGCTCCTGAATGGAATCAATGTAAATATTTGTACATTGAACTATTATTTTTCTCATGTCTTTGTCAAGGAGTAGAGACCAGGAATCCAATGGTGTTGATGCATCGTTCGAATAACCAGTATTGCCTGGAATTTTGAAGAAAATATTTTTAGAACTAGTCCTAACATTTGTTCAGAATTTGTTTTTAGAACTAGTCCTAACATTTGTTCAAAATATTTTTAGAACTAGTCCTAACATTTGTTCAGAATCAGTCCTAACTTCCATATCAGGCCATTTATACCAACATAATTTTCATCATTTGATTGATTTTCTGATTCATTATCTAATTCAGTGTCTGTATCACTGTCTGTTTATGAATTATGATTGCTGTTGTATTCTTCATCTATTAATTCTTACGCCTCTTCGCTAAACAATTCATCATCTGTTGAAATATTTTCTAGCATATTTCTCAACCATTCCATTTCTTTTTATCATAGCTTAGATGCCTCGTCATGCTGACTACCTAAGAAAGTGAGGATGAAAATCTGAGAGACGTGAGAAGGCATGTGGGTGTCTCATACCCAAATGGTACAATTCCTAGAAAAGTATTCAAAGAATCACTCCACGAACATACCAGCTTCAAGAATGTGACCTTGAATTCAGATGCAAAAGGTTTCGCCCATTTCCAGGAAAGGGGGTTGGAGATAAGGGACAAAGAATATGCTCCCGAGTATGAGATACCTGGCGCACGTGCTCGCGGGTTAAAGGAAAAAAAATAGTGTTTAAAAAATGCAGCCAGAATTTAGGAAAGTCTGGTAGAAAGATGCTGTTAATGTATTAAATAATATAATTATTTAATTTAATAATATGCATTTAATGCATAAATAAACAGGCTGATCCAAAAGTTAGTTTACATATAAATTTACATTTTAGCAAATGAAGCCACAGATTGATTGTTAGGTGAAATCTCCAAGTGGATATTTGTCAACAAGGTGGGACAACTACACATAAGGCTCTAGTTTCAGTTGAAAGGGAAAATTAGTTGGAAAAAAGAGAGATTTTTATAGGGCCTCTTGGCATATGACATCACCTGCCTTTTTTTTTCTTTTTCTTTCTTTCTTTCTTTCTTCTTTCTTTTCTTTCTTTTCTTTCTTTTTTTTTTTTTTACTCTAGGATTATCCCATAATTTTATGTTAAATAGATTGTGTATACATATTTTCTCCACATTGAGAAAATAGCTGACTGGAAATTACCACTATTCTGGAAGATATGTTTCTATGAATATATGTCACCTCATTCTTTATGTGAAATAGAAAATTGCTCACACTTACTTGTAATGATATTGAACATCTGCTTGTAAAGTGATCAAATGAATTATGTTTACATTTTAATTACAGGCAAAGGTCTTTTTTTTAAAAGCCTTATTTGTAAATTTATGGAATAAGCAACTTTTACATCATTCTGTAAAAATAAAAATTAAGGTCGCCTGGGGAAATTCTTATTATGAGCTCTCATAGTAAAGTTTTCATTTCAATATAAATTCACATTAATTTAAGTTGTTATAAATTTTTAGTGATTTAAAATGGAATGATTCCTGGTCATTTCGAGGCAGCTGTAGGTCAGCATCGTTTTTGGCTCAAATAAAAAGGTACTGACCTCATTTTTATGGCAAATTTTTAAAATTATTAGACTAAATTGTTAAAATTATTTTTTCTTTTGTTTTTTTCCCTTTCTCCTCCTTTTTCTTTTCTTTTCTTTTTTGGTAAATCTTATAACTGAAGGGAAAAGGTAAAAAAATTCGGTGAATAAATGCAGATTTATTTGATATGTATTTGTGTTAAACTTTAATTAAAAAATCTACTTGCAATCATGTCTGTGTTTATATTATTTTTGATTATTATCTAATTTGCTTTTTTTTGAGAAATTTTGATAATCTAGAGTAAGCACGTTAAAATTACTTATGCGGCTTGAAATCGAAGTTGGGCTAGGTTTAAGTTTTTCATGTTGTAGTTTTCCAAAGATATCTCTATTTGTAACTAATAACAGTAATATAAGTTTATTATTGCAGTTATAGAGTTCTATAAATAATTTTGATTCATAATTTGAAAATATGTTCATTTCATGAAACTCACTGCTGCGAAAATTTTTCCAGAATGATGTGTTGAAGATATCATTAGATGAAATTGGAGAATATGTCTTAAATAAACAAACTCCAAACAGGCAAATATGGTTATCATCACCTATTAGGTTTGTTTTTAAATATTGTTCTTAAGTAAATTAAAGTAAGTCTGTACAATTTGTCCATTGAGTGATTATAACAACACTTTAGAATTTTGTACATGCATGAAAGTGAGATTGATAAAATTGGAAAATATGTCTTAAACAAACAAACACCAGATAATCAAATATGATTATCATCACCAATTAGGTTAGTTCTTAAATATCATTGTTAAGTAAATAATAATTATAACAACACTTTAGAATGATGTATATGTATGAAAGTGAATTATTGCATTCTTAAAAACATATCTGTATGACAGAAAACACTTCTACAAAAGAGTTCAGCACTTCTGCAGTTTGACAGAAAACACTTTTGACATTTTTGATAAGCCTAAAAATTTCACGAGTTTATAAATATACAGTGGTTTGCATTTGTTTTTGGATGCTTGTATTTTTACAAATTATTTGCATACCTACAAGTTATTTGCATAGACACTATTAGTTATATGCATAGATACTTGTACTAAAATATTGAAATGTAAATTAAAAATTTTTTCTAATATATTATTTTTTTACTTTCTTTTAAGAAAGCGAAATTTTCAAAAAATTTCTTGTTGCAAATATTTATCATCATAATAATTCAGATAGTCAAGAGTGATTTTTAAGATGTTTTTTCAAATGAGACTTATCATAATTTTTTATTCCTGATGAAAATATATCACAAGAATTACCACCTTCCTTTAGGAAAATATATTAAAATTTCCACATCTAAAGTGACCATGCCAAAATGCTACAAATTAATAACAGAATTTGTTAGAAATTTAATTATTCATCATTTTATCAAGGTGGTAAAAGTATTTGAAATAACTCCAAAAATAATGGATGCTATCTTTCATTCAGCTATCTTTGATGTTATAAAACAATGGAAATTGTGGGGAACTATTGTAAATGTATTGAAGTCTGGACCACAATCCAAGTAAGTTCAAAGAATCAAAGATTTATCATATGAAAAATCAAACAAGACAAAAAAAATGTTGATCTAATTTGCAGTGGATTTAGAAGAACAGTTTATAGTAAAAGTTAATGATGAAACAATCGGAAGAATCATTAGGACATATGGATATCATGGGTGATCAGCAAGAAAGAAAGTTTATAGTGGTGCTACTAGTGCCACATTTTCATCTTTCAGATGTTCAAAACATGTGTCCAGAATTTCATTTATTTAGCAAAAGTCTTTCTTGGAGTTGGAATTTCATTTTCCATCAGTTTATATAAATATTTGTAATGAAACCAAAAGCATCTGCAAGAAAGCAAAATATATTCAAGCTCTATCAAAGTAATGACCCTAAACATACAGCCATAAATGTTCACTTGACAACTGTCCTGAAGTTATCAAAATGTGTAATTTTAACTGAACGATATTCTGTGAAATGTCGAATATTTCCTATTTTCATGTCTTTTGTTAAATATAAAAAGTGTCCAAATACTTATATGAGTTCACTTTTGGAACTTTAATAAATTTTTTATAAGCAAAATTAAAAAAGAAAGATAGTGTTTTTGAAAGAAAAATAAAGTTATTTCACTAATATTTAGTAACTGATATTTGTAGATAAAATTGAAAGACAGAAACATCCAAAAACAAATGTGAGCCACTGTATATATTATTAAAATTATTATGAAAGTTCAAATGAATTCTGCAGTAGTAGTTTTTGGAGCTAAAAAAAAGTGGTGTGTTCTTATAAATTTACAGGTATTACAAATTTTAGAACTGAAATGCTCAGTTTTGAATAAATATAGAATTTTTTATTCATACTGGTTTGAATATCTAAAAGACAAAAAAGGGAAAAAATTTTAGTACTTGTGTGCTATCCTGTTGCCTAGGAAAGTTGGCTATCATTGAGTTGTGAAAGCTGGCAGAGATGTCGCTAGATTTGCACCAGTCATTGCTGTGGAATTCTGAGCCACACTTTTATCTTCAACTCTTAAAATAAAACATTCAGCAGTTTCTCTGCACAATCCACCAAATAGTCACTATGAAGTCAACTATTTATCCAAAGCGGTATTCGACCTGTTTCGTTTTTGCACTCCGTAAAAAGCTTTTGTCAATTTCTGCTATTTTTGTTAGGCCGTCTGATTTTACCAGAAGCTGTCTTCAAACTCTAAAAACTTCCTGCAAGGGATTGTTCCAATCTATTATTGTTTCATTGGCTTTATCCTGTCGTTCTTTTGCCTATTAAACAGATGATAATTCTCTCGACCAGCCTTAAATGAAATTGTGCAGTCACAAATATGACTCTACAGCAGTCAAACTCATTTGTTTTCAAAATGCAAGGGAATCAAATCTAACAGTAACAGGGAATTTATATCCTTTTCCCTAAAAGCAAAGAGGGACTCATTGAGAATCAATTGCGATTTCATTAAACAGAAGCACAGATGTTATGATAGTGTTGTGTTGCAATGTAATGCTAATCCATACTTAGTAGTAACTCGTATTGCTATTTGTCAGCTTCATGGTCGATGGTATAAGCACCAAATTTTTAACTGAAAAATCATCATCCCTATAATTTACCAAAATCATATGGTTTCATAGCATAAGTGTTTTTCATTGTTCCTTATCTGTACCAAAAATGTTAAATTTTCATTTGTTGTAAACTTAGCGGTACTTTCTGATGATCTGCATCACCATTTTAATATTCCCATTTCATAACTGTATCGAGTTTGGCTTGTTTGGGTTGCATAAAATGTGTTAAATTCCTAACAGACTGGAAGCGAATTATCGCTGGTTCTAAAGTTAAGGATAGAGTCTTCGGAAGGCTTCAAAGCAAACCTTTTTATTAAATCAGGACTTGAACATAAAGGCACTTCTCATGCTCACATAAGCCACCATAACTTGTGGCGATGAAAATTAAAATAACAGTCATATTCAAGGTTTAAAGCTAAATTTAGTAGCCAAGGCTACACAATTGATTTAACACAAAGTTGAGTCAAACTTCTCACGGCATAGAAATTTAAATATCAGCAACTACTATAATGCTAAGCCAAAGAATCTTAGCTAGCAAAGACTAGTAACACGGCATCGAAAGGCAGAAATACACTCTGCCTTACAATCCGAAAACCTCATCTCAAGTACTCTCAATCTAATTTGCATTCTGGTAGGGAAATGGAAAGACAAGTAAAAATCTAAATAATAAAATAACTGGTTATTCAAACTAATAATAACTTTACATTTGAATTACTGTATATTATGCTTTCTTCCTGTTTTTAGAAAAGTCAGCAATGATAAGGGAAAATTAGGTGCACAATTAGAATTTGATAGTGGTTAAGATAGTGGCCATCATAATAATGAGTTGAATGCTTTCATCAGATCCAGATGAAGTACTGCAAGATAATTCTGTTTCATTCATTGACAAAAATGTGTTGAATAACTCTATCTGTTGATGACCCATTTATTGCTGAACAATGTTTCAGGAATCGTATTGTTTTCAATCGTAACAATGTTTCAGGAAGCGTATTGGCATTAATGAAGTTGTTATTACAGAGGTAATGTTCAACAGAATTTAAGTGCTCTTATTTTGCAGAAACATTACATTACATTATCGTAAATAACTGAGCCTCATCCAACATTCAAACTGGGGCCCAACAATATATGAAGTCAGTTTCCACTAATCACCATATCATCTAAGGTGGCATGATGTAAGTTAAAATAAATCGACGATGAATAGTTTAGTAGGAAAAGCATAATGGGTTAAATACTTAAGAATAATTTGATAAGTATTTATAAATTAACTAATTATAATTTTTTAGCTTAAATTCTTGATAGTGTAACTCAAAATTTCTCTTTTTTTTTCAGTGGTCCCAAAAGATATGACTATGTAGATGGTGAGTGGATTTATAAACATGATGGCATGTCTTTACATCAACTTCTATCTACTGAAATTAGTGATCTATTGAAAGTAAAAGTTACTTTTAGAAGTTCTAGAGATGGATAACAACTATTTATTATGCAACATAATAAGTGTAAGTTACAATGTAAATAAATTTGTTTTAGCAGAGATTAGTAGTTGTATATTACTTAAAAATATTAAGGTGTAAATAAAATTTCATGAGTAAAAGCTTAGTTATGAAAAGAAATTTGTCAGGGATTAAAATGCAACTCTACTACTATTAAAAAAGTACACTGAGTGAAAAGCATTTGACTTGCCTAGTGAAAAATGGTTTTAAAATTGTTTCAGTGAATTTAGTTTCATGACTATTTTATGAAGATCTCTTTGCCTACTTATTTGTTACAAATTTCTCCCATGAAAATCAAGGTTTCATTCTGAGATATTAATCCAGAGTGTCAGTCACAGGATCTTTAGCAGTGTAGAGGTATAACAGAAGACAAATCTGCTTCTTGCTTTCGAAATAAGTGTATATTTAAGCTAACTGAAAATAGCATGAAATAATAGCTTGCATGACTTAATCAAATCTATAAACTGTGACTAGTTTACAAAATGAAAATTAAGTTCTAATAGTTGCAAGGTGGTTAATGTGGAAGTACAGGATTGGGATACAATAGAGCAAGCATTATGCATTAAAGAGCCAAATGTACAATGTTTTTAAAAGAAGTACCATTTTGAAATTCCAACGCCACAATGCTGTGGTCAGCATTCTGCAGATCCGCGCTGTTTACTTGTTTGTGTTAGTAAGCCACATATCTGTTAGCAAGGCATCATTACGGAAACTTTAGGCTGCGTTAACATTTGTTTTTGGGTATTTAAAATGGCTGCGCTGACTGACAATTCCACTGACTGTGAAATATAATTGGTGATCCATTTTCTTAGTGCTAAAGACTTGTAAGCAGCTGAAATCCTTTGTCAGACTAGTGAAGAGTATGGAGAAAAATGTTATGAGCGATGGAATGCTATGGGAATGGCTTAAAGCTTTTAAAGCTGACCGCGGGAATGTTCATTATGATTAGCAAAGTGGGCAACCTTCTGTCATTATGGAAGATTTGGTCCAGAAAGTTGATGAACGAGTGAAACAGAATAGATGCTTTACAATTTTATCATTATCTGATGACTTTCCTCAGGTTTCATGTAGTGTTCTGTAGGAAATTGTGAACGAGCGCTTAAATTATTGAAAATTGTGTGCATGCCGGGCACCAAAAATGTTGACAGAAATGTACAAAACCAAATGTTTTGTTAGTGCTTTAATTTTTCTTCAGCAGTGTAGTGAGGAAGGTGATGACTTTTTATGCCACTTTGTCTCAGGTGACGAAACCTGAGTGCCTTACACTACAACAGAATCAAAGCAACAATCCATGGAATGGCGGCATTCATCATTACTCAAGAAAGCAAAGTTCATGCAAGCAGTTTCAGTCCAGAAAATGATGTGTACTGTGTTTTGGGGCAGGAAGGGGGTGTTGCTTGTGGCTTTCATGACATTGCCTGTTCACAGGTGGTTAAATGAATTCAAGATCTCATCTCATCATTTTGCTGGGATCACCCTCCACACAGTTCCAATCTAGCATCCAGTGACTACCACCTGTTCCTGCATTTAAAAAAGCATCTGAGTGGTCAACGTTGAAGTCAAAATAACCATGTTGCAGTGGGTGTCATATCAGATGGCAGACATCTGTGAAGGGGAAATTTAAAGACTGGCTGTGCGATATGCCTTAATATTGACTGGCTGTGACTGGCTTATACTGGCTGTGCCTTAATATTGGCAGAAATTATGTAGAAAATAGATAGAGGTAAGAGCTTTCATATAAAAATAAAATCTGTAAGAAAATTATACTTGTTTCTTTTTTGTTTCCAGAAGGTACTTCAAAAATATGCCTTTAGTAACCTGTTTATTTCTTCTCATGAGTAGGTATACAATGGCATCATTGCGAGTAAGCAAAATCGATACTGATCCAGGAATTTTCTGTCTGAGATTTTCAGCTGCTTTTTTTTGCCAGGGGGGATTTGAACTACCTTTTTTCCTCCCTTTTTGAAAAGAAAGAATCAATAAGAATTGCAGGATTTGACAGTTGATGAATGCCGTGCATGATTAAATTCTTCCAAGACAAAAGCATCATCCATACTTTTGTTTAGAACATATACCTTTGTTTAAAGAAACATAAAATGAAATTGTATTTTCCTATTATCAAACTACCAAAATGGCAGTGCAAAGAAAGATCATGCCATGAATAGAAAGGATTGTAAAGCAGAAGCTGATTCAGATGTTTGCTCCTTCCTTTTCTTATAGCTATCCAGTTTATTTATTTTTAGTGCAGTAGTAGTTGTAAAGGGTAGGGTGACCACTGAGTGCACCAAATGGAAAATTTATACATATGAGACTTTTGCTTTCCCGTAAATATTTCTGCTATAAATCTGTCTTCTTAAGCTAAAATAGAATATTTTTATTTCTTTATTACTTAGTTCATAAACTCATAAATCAATATACACTATTTATCAATATATACTCTTCATTTATTTCTCTTATTCGTTAGAAATATGAAAAAGATAATAAAAATTTTATATATGCATATCTGTCATGTATCACTGAAATTTTAAAATAATCCTTAGCATACTTTTCTAATATCTTTTATTGACACGATTCTTAAAATTTTTTCTATTTGCTCATATTTTTCAAACTTCTGGAAATGCCAGTTGAAATACTAAAGATCGAGTCATTTGGTGCTGCCATCTTTTGGCAATGCGAAAAATTAAAAAGCCTTTTCTTTAATAATTTTGTGCTGTCATCTGTTGGTTAAATTATACCAGGTATTCCGAAACTTTTTCTTGCATCGACCTCTTTTAAATGAAGGGATTTCTTTATCAATCCCCTTAATTTTTTCTCAGTAATATAGAGTACACAACACAACAACACAATCATAATGCGAATAATCGCACATGAGTAACAAAATGATAATATTTAAACTAATAAAATGAACAAAAGTTTTGGAAAAAAAAAAATAAAATGGTTCGTTTCATTTATGTTTCATTTTTAGGCCAAGGAAACGTTAGCTCAGAAAGGCCTCGAAACAGCATTAGGTACTCTTAAAAACAGTATTTTGCGTCGGTTCAACATAAATGTCCGTTTCACTTTTCAAATTGTTGCCACTGAATATTATCGCTCTGTATTATATTCAAAGAAATTAAATAATGAAGAAACTGCATGAATGTATGTTTGTTTGTCGCATTGTAAAAAAACAAAAGTACCTATAGCTATCAAATTTTGAATAACGTAATCCTCCTCCCAAAATGGCCACCTGGAAGCCCGAATTTGGAATTTCGAGTTTATTTTATTATCTATTTTATATTTGTAAAATCTTAGCGACTTTTTGATTAAAAAACCCAGCGAGTTTAAAGCGAGCAATGGTAACATTGTACGATTTTAAAAAAAAAAAAAAAAAAAAAAAAATTCCGGCACGCGAGACTGTCTATCGAGAATTCTAAAGATATACTATTTTAAGCTGAAAGGAACATTAGGTCAAATACTCTCGAAACATTTAGGTGTGCGTAAATAAATAAATAAAAAAAATAAATAAATAAATAAAAAGGCCTCTTTGGGCATAATATAAAATCTGAAACTTTCAAGTTTTTTTTTTGTATTATTATTATTATTTTTAATTTTACAAATATATACAAGTTTTCAGATGCAAAATCACAGATTTTAGTTGCACAAAATGTTAATTGGTATATGTCGGCGCTTGATGGAATGATGCAATTTCTTTAGTAATTGGCATAAAATTGCCGTTTTAATCCTTAAATCGTCTTCTTCAGAAATATTCAACCTGTTTCTTGTTATTTGTGGTAGATTATTAAAAAAACTGTTATTTTCCGTACAGTGCCCGCTCTGAACGCGTTGAGTTTGTTAATCGAAAATTCGTTTAAGTTTTACAGAGTATGAAACAGATTAAAACAAATTCGAAATTCGGCCGTCCAGATGCTCATGTTCGGGTGGAGGATTATATTATTCAAAATTTGATGGCTCTAGATACTGTCGTTTTTGTCACAGTGCGAGAAACATACATATATTCATGCAGATTCTTCATTATTTAATTTCTTTAAATATAATACAGGACGATAATATTTGGTAACAACAATTTGCAAGGAGATACGGACATTTATAGTAAAATAGCGCAAAATGCCGCTTCGAAACTAATAACATTTCTAGGCTACCGCCCCTTTGAGCTAATAAATTATATTATCAGTAAATAAAAAAAATCTTATGCAGAACTAAAAATAAATTAAAAAAATAATCAGTATAATATACAAGCGAAATTAATTATTACGGTTAAATACAATTTTAATATTAGAATTAAATGTATAAAATTTTTAAGGAGTCAAAAGTGTTTATCATTATGATGTGTTATGAAATATAATTTTTTTATAGAAATTGTGCTATAATACTCATAATTTTAAAAAAGCAGCACAATTTAGAATTTAAAAAAAAAAAAAACTTTCAAAAATTCTTTTTTAAATATTTTAGTATTTTTTACTTGTTTACACCAATAAAAAGCATAAAAATTGCATGAGAAATTTGCTTGTTTGAAATTTTCTATTAGTTCAGATTTAAAATATTATTTTCTAAAAGAAGTAGTTACAAATTTCCTTACAGCATAGGAAAAGCTAAAAAAAAATAGCCAGCCCTGAAAGCATGCAATAGTTTTATAATTATTTGGAACGTTAATTATGCTTGATAAATATGCTAAATTTTTAAAAATCAATCTCAATTTCAAAAATTGTTCTCATTTTCAAAATATGTAGAAATTCTAATTTGTGAAATTAGGCTCTACAACCAGCTTTTTCTTGACAATTATACACGCTGCAATAGGCAACCACTGTTAAATTTCCGCAAGTCGTCCCTACTCCTCCGGATGTGATCAAGGTGACAGCCGGGAACGCCTCAGACGAGGGAGAAAACCCATTTATGTTTGTAAATAAAAAAAATCTTATGCAGAACTAAAAATAAATTAAAAAAATAATCACTATAAAATACAAGCGAAATTAATTATTACGGTTAAATACGATTTTAATATTAGAATTAAATGTATAAAATTTTTTAAGGAGTCAAAAGTGTTTA